CAAGAAATATTAAATAATTGGAAAATTAAGGAAAATATATCAGATGGATAGTCACAGATGAATTTGAGTATTATATACATGTTTATACATTTATTTATTTGATCGCATTTGGTATTGCTGTAACTGTAATGATAATACCAAATTTTTTTTAGGAGAGATAGAATTTACATTTCATTTTTATGTGCTCTCAATGTTGTTTCCATTTATTTATATGTCCTTCAAATGAATACTCTGGTAACTGTACGTTAACCTACTTACGGCGGGTGTCCCACATGAGACACCCGGAAAAGTGAACATTGCCGGATGTCCCGCCGGTGTGACTCAGATTGGAGCTTGCACTCTGATTCTGTCACCCGTGGCGGACTCGTCTGTGTGCCAATTTTTGACTTATAAATGTACTGTTGCTAGTGGGTTAATGATTTTGAATATCCTCAGACTCCGCCAACTGGAATTGAGAGAAGATGGCTCCTCATGGTGGAAGACGTAAGTATATATGTGCTACCCTTCACATGTGTCTTCCCAGACTTATCCCAAACCTGTCTCTCCATCTGTGCCCCTCATCTATCTCCCCAACCCTATCCCTCACCTGTCTCTTCAACCTTACTCATCTATCTCCCCAGTCCTACCCTCACCCGTCTCTTTGCCACCTAAATTCCTAACCTTACTCTTCAGCTATCCTTTTCCCACCCGTGATAGGTACCCGAAAGTGGAAAACACCCTTATTGACAGGTGGTAGCTTTAGCAGCAGGTGTTTGCTTCCCGAGTGCAAAACACACTTGTTGGGTTACTCAGGGTGTAAGCCAAATGTCTTACATATCAGACAGTCAGGTTTGGTGAGACAACTGACCCTCCACCTCTACCCCTTACCTGTCTCCCCAAACTTACCCCTCATCTGTCTCCCTCTTATCTCTCACCTGTTTTAATAACCTTACCTCTCACCTATTTCCATAACCCTACCTCTCACCTGTCTCCCTAACTCTGTCTTAGAAGTTATATAACCTTTCTTGAATTTGTGTTCCCCCTGAGGTGATCTATAACTGTCTATCTCTGTAATTTATGATATGCTTAAAAAGAATGTTGACTTTCTTTTTTACTTAAAGCAAGTGTTCTAGCAAGAAATATGATGAAACCAAACATATAGTAAAAATTTTGTTTAAATGTTTTGGGTTACTCACATTGAAAGAAGGAAGGAAATAAAGAAAAAACATGAATTAGTATGAAAGGCTTCGAAAAAAATATGTAAATATTTGTAGATCAACGGAAGAATATACATAAATGGAAAAGGAAGCTTATTTGTATCCAAAAAGGCAAACATGTCGATTATAGCACTTGTTATTTCAGTGTTTTTTTTTTTCTTTTCTTTTTTTAGCATTATTAATATCAAGTTGATAATGACCATTTATTTATTAAAAATTTAATTGCAGCTGTTGGGCCTCCAAGATTAACTTCGTTTCTTCGGGCATATGCCAATGTCAGCAGGAAAGGAAATGAGGATGATTATGACCTGGCTCAAATCTTGGCAATCAAAAGAGAACAGCGAAGGCAGCGAATGAAGTAAATTTTCTGTGAAATTTTAATTTTTCTCAAACAACATGTATGACAATGCTTTACAAATCAAATAGGAGACTTTGTATACATCTTGATGATGACCACAAAATAAGATCATTTGAATAGCTAAACACCTATTTTGTACATGACTTATTTGTTTTTATACTTTTGCAGTACTTTCTATGATAATTCACAACCAGAGTATCTGTCTGTCATTATTACTAAAATTATATATACATCATATGGCAGTTTGTGAAAGAATTGGGTATTATTGTCGACAGCTAGGGTTAGATTATCATACTGAAGAGAAGAATATTCATTTTCTTTTTTATTTTAGTCAAAAATGAAAACATGTTCAGAGTAATAGAAATCAAGACAATTCAGGAAGTGTCTGGTATGAAAGCAATTATTGCCAACCTTTCAGAGAGAGTGGAGTCACATGGCCTCGCATCAAGAACCAGGTGGAGCATCTTGGGAGAGAGAATGGGGTTAATTTAGATTGTTATTTGCGAGAGGTGGCAGAAGTGGCACGTCAGGTCAGTTAGTGAGACCATGCTTTGTTGTCCTATATGATCATATTTCCTATTACTTTTTAGAATTGCTTTTCATATTTTATACATCAGTGTCATCTATTTATGATCCCCCTCTCCCATCAGGTTGCCCCGGAGCTGGACACACGTGACGAGGCAGCCACCCTGCTCTTCACTGTCTCCCATGATCATGCAGTCCTGCCTGTCAAGCATAAACTCAAACTCCACCAGATGTTTGGCGATGTGAAGCCGTATTTACTGGAGAGGGCTCATAAGGTGGTTCTTGAGTGATTTTTTTTTTTTTTTTTTGTGTGTGTGTGTGTTTGTGTGTGAGTGAAGTGAGGCGAGGTGAGTGTGTGTCTATGTGTGCGTGTGGGTGTGGGTGTGTGTGAATGTGTGTATATATGTGATTGTGCATGTATGTGTGCAAATGTGTGTGTGCATAAATATATATTATATATTAATACATATGTAATATGTATTCATATATATAATTTATATTCATATATATTTAATATTTATTCATATTCCCCTTTTCAATGGCCAGTCAACAGGTACACCAACAGGGTTTATTACTCACTCAGTCTAAGACTGCCCATTAGGTTTATGTTCCTGTGACAATAATAGGTAGAATAAGCCTGTGGGAAAACTTTAAAATTTGTAACGTGGTCATACTGGTCAGTACTGATGCAAGGAGGTTTAGATTTGCTAGGCCTCCATCTGACAGCTTGCCAAGAGGGTAAAAGTGTAGAGTGGGAGACAACAAGACCCTCATGGTGTTGATTATATGTTACACATATATGGACAGAAATACACATGCATGCATACATGCACTTTTTTACGCAGTGTAACTTGGATATCTAGTTGTGGGATGTAAATGCAAGCAATCCAGTATTATATCAGCACATTATTTTACGTCCTTTACAATAAACCTTCAATCTCTACCAGGCTGTTCGCAATGTTGCTGATCTCGTAGGCGAAGAAGAGCTCAAGGAGATGATGCAGAATTTGCAGAATGATCAAGAGACAACGACAATGTTTGGAGCTAATATTAAAGTACTGTAGATTCAAGTTTTTGAATTGTTTTTTTTTTTTTCATCTAAGAGCTGTATGAATAGTTGAATTTCATTTTCATGTGTGAATATTTTGAGTGGAGAGAAAGGAATTTAACCTGAAATAATTTGTAAGAGCATCTGTATTTATTACTCTCGCACTTTTATTTTTGTCGGCTAGGTTGGAAAACTTGGACCACCTCCCGAATTGCCACCAATGGATAAACTGATCAACTTGCAAAAAGTTAAAGTAGAATCTAAAGCAACCTTACGATATGATGATTACAAACCAGAGACAGTTCAGACTCAGGTGAAGAAGAAGGTAAGTTTAGGCATATTTTTTTGTTTGTCTGTGTGTGTATATTTTATTCAAAGTTAGAGTATCTTTGATATTATTTTCTTTATATTTTTATGATGTGAACTCTGTTCCAGGTGATTAAGGATACATATGATAAGTCATGGGTAGAAGCAGAGATGTTGAAATATTACACTGACACAAGCATAGTCTCAGAGCTAAGCAGTGGAACCATGGCCCTCCTGATTAGCAGCAAGGGTGATGATGAACTGCAGAATGAGGTAAGTAGCTTTTTTCCCATAGCTGGTGTCGCTTTTAAATCCTTAATTCTACAGTTGAGTGTCTGTTTATATAGTTATGCGCTATTAGTTTGGTCACCTTTTTTGCTGTGCATCCGCAAAATTAAACTCATATGCACTTAAGATAGAAGAAACATTATATATATATATATATATATATATATATATATATATATATATATATATATATATATATATATATATATACTATATATATATATATATATATATATATACACACTATGTTGATATGTACATTTATGCATATGTACATGTATACATATACATTTATTCATATATATCAATTGATTATTTGATTGACAAACAAATTGATTATTTAGTTGATTAATTAATTTAATCATATGTTTAAAATGTGTTTATTTTTTTCTTATCCCAGATGTTTGAGTTACTAGGATTTGAGAGATTTGAACTTATCCAGACTCTGCTGCAACATCGAAACGAAATTAAAAACCCACCACCAGACAAGGACGTAAAGATTGCAGAATTGCTCAGTAAGCATTTGTTTTCTTTACTCCATTAGTGCTAGTTAAATACATCGTTCACTTTGGTTTTATTTATTAATGTCTTTTACTCATAGATTGCTTCACAATTGCATAGTCACTAAGAAGTCAATTATTAGGCCTATCTGATCTTACTTGATTACCTCATTCCCTGAATTTACAGAGAAAATCATCTTAGTTTCCTTGACAATCATTATGATTACTAATATCATTCATTTTGTTATTGTTCTTATTGTCTTCACTGTTATTATGATATTAACAATAATGGATTAGATAGGTCAGGAAGACCTTGGAGAATGAACACTTCTTGAGCCATTTGTGTACGAGCAAAATTGGTAGAACAAACCACAGTGGACAGCATTTGTCTACAAGCACTCCTTACATCACTGAGTTCCAATGTATATGAAACGTAGAAAAAATTGCTGCTGGAAATGTGAAAAAGATTTATCAATTTTGAATCCATCCAGTAGTTGTATCACTGAGTGATTCATGAAAATAAATCTGTCACTTTCAAATTATTTATATTTTTTACCTGTTGCTGCCTGGAACATGTATACTTTTGTTTTGTGAATTGTCTGTACACACAAATGGCTCACAAGTGCTCTGCTACCAAGAAGTCAGTTACGTGAAATATCTGTCCTTACCTGATTTCCCCTTTCCTTGAATTGTAAGGGATTTTTTTTTCCAGCACTGCAATTATCAATATTAACATTACTATTATTGACATTATGGTTATTATAATGTTATTGATATACTCATAGTAATAAAAAAGTTATAACTAATATTTCCTAAAATCAAAGACAAGGGTAAATGGTTGGGATAGATAGGCAAAAATCACAGCGGATATAGCATGTACGTATATACCATCCGAGTTGGCAGTGGGTTAAATGATACATTTAAATCTGCCCAAAGACATTCTTAATCATGATTAAAACAATTATATGATAAAGTAGAACCAGCAACAGTATGAAAGGAAAATATGGAGCAGGATGATCTAGAAATCAAAGAATGGATAATGAACTGGGCAAAGAAAACAAAGAATAGGAAAATGATCTTAAATCTCTCTTAGGTAGTAACTGGAAGAATTAAAGATGTCTATTGCCCTCTCACAGGTGACCTAGAAAAGAGAGGAATACCTGAACGACCTATATTCGGTCAGCAAGTCACCGTTATGAATGAAACAGAGAAGCAGTACCTCAAGCAGGCAAGGAAGGAGGAGAAGAAGTTGCTAAAAACTGCCAAACAGATAGCAGAGGATGACTCCATAGATGACTTCAGTCCAGAGACACTAAAAGCGAAAAGGTAAGCGAGCTGCAGCCATACATTTGTTTTCACTGATTTCACAGATTACATCAATAATTATGGTGTGTATTTTTGGTCTATAAGAGAGAAAGAGAGAGATATTACAAGGTAATTTTTCTACAATATACTGTCACACAACTGGTTGATCAGAAAATATGTGATTTGATATTGTTATTTAATTTTATCTGTTCCTACAGAGAAGCTGCTCTTTTGGAAGCTTCCCAGGCATATCTCTTCAAGAAACGCGACCGAGTGAATGTCCCAGAGATACGGTTTCCCTATGTGTTTGATTCTCAGAACAAAGCCAAGCAGACAGCAGGTAGTGTGTCAATTTTACTTTTTTATAATTTTATTATTATTTTTTTTTTAATTATATTTTTTGGAAGGAAATTTTTGTGTTTGATCCCTTCAAGACATGTCTGTTGCACAGGGTGACAAATATCAGAAATAGCTTTACTACCTTCTTTTTCCATTTAATTGTAACTGTGTTAGTTTTTTTTCTATATTGTGAGTACATTATACTCCATTGTTCTACTCTGGTATGTATGGCAAGTGGGGCAGAAAGTGGTTGTTTAATCTGCAACTTTTTTCAGTTTATTAGTTATACTTCTCTGAGTTTTTCAACCCTTTAAAGTTGAAGGGCAGGGTAGAGAAAAGATAACACTAGATATTAACCCACTCATATGGCACCATACTGAACCACTCACTGGTCAGTGCTGCCTTAGGTAAAATTTCAAGTGTGGGAAACATGAATTTTGATGCTCTTGGCAGCAGCTTAAATAATTATGTAGGTAATGAGGTTAAAAAGAGGCCTTAATCCTATCTATGACTACCGTTTCTCCTCACTGACTGCTGTCAGTGCCAAATAAGTGAACAGCTGTTTCATGTGTATAACTTAGAGCAGGCTGAACTGCATGTGACATTATGGGAGTCATCCCGGTGTGACAGAAGCTGGAGCCATGAAGTGATAAGAGTTTCTTGAGTGGTTCAGTATGCAAATTTGCTTTGTGTTAAATCCATTAGGATATTACATACATTTGTTAATGCATTATTGTGTATGTGAGATTTTTGGGTCATTAATAATGTAATTTCCCTAAAGTATCCTTTTTGGCAATGTCCAAAATTCCATCCAAATTGCAAATTTATTAGCATGATTAATACTTATCCAGTGTATGATACAGAGGTCTTCCAATCCCTTCTCTTCACACTGAATTTAAAAGCAGCATTAAGAAAAAAAATCTTTGTGATTTCAGGTTACATAGCAGGTATGAAAATAGCTTTGCCTGAAGGCTTCACTAGGACTTACGATGATGTATTGGAAGAGGTGGATATTCCAATGTCAGATCCAGCTCCTCCTGAAGTTGGAGCTAATCTCATAAATGTAAAGGAGCTTGATGAGGTATGTTAGTGTTCTGTCTTACATTTCTTTTATTGCTCATTATATTTTTCAGTCAACGAAAACATGGAAGTATTTGAATAAAGCTTTGTAACATAGAGATCACATTTCAGAGGAATGAAAGTGCTTGTATGTGATGTTCCGGGCAGTAATCTCATCTTTTTGCATTTACAGATTGGAAGAATAGCATTTAAAGGTTGCAAGACACTGAACAGAATCCAGACAGTAGTTTATCCATCTGCATACCACAGCAATGACAATTTGCTCATATGTGCTCCAACCGGTGCTGGTAAAACAAATATAGCTATGTTGACTGTCGTACACCAAATTAGACAGCATATTGAGAATGATGTTATTCAGAGAGATAAATTTAAGGTAAGTTTGGCCTCATAGTTTCAAGTATTTGATGTCTCACTTTAAACATTGCATTAGTGTAGGTTTATTTTTATTTATATATTATTCTCTGTATCAGGTTCTCTTGTTATATGATTAACCAGCTAGAACTAGGTGCCTTGTAGCCTGTACCTGGACCAAGTATTAGGCTTACTTGAATGGCAACTCTCCTAGTTGTGTGGCTTGTAGCCATACAATTGCTCATGTGCAGTATCAATACTTCTTGCCTCCCCATTTTCTAAGGTCTATATTTTATTTGCAGGGTATGTCCTGTACGTACATGTTTTTGAAAATATTTTCTTATATTTTGTGTGGCTGTTAGTAGTATCAGTAACAGTATAGTAATAATTAGTGTCTATAATGATGATAACAGCATTGATTATGATAGCATATGTAAAAAATAGATAATTTTTCCTGAACACTGAAGGAAAGGTGAAGTTGGGTGAGGTCACAGCATCTGCTAATCTGTATGTAGAAACATTTCACCAAACAATACTACAGGGAACACTGTGTTTGTTTGTTTTTTATGGTACTTGTCAACTTAGCTTTCTCAACTGTAGACATCAAGTGAGTGTAGCAGAGCTATCAAAGACCTTACTTTTGCACTTATCATGTATGTATGAGGATGAAAAAAGTAAAAAAAAAAAATTATCATTAATAAAGAGCCAGATAAAAACAGTGGTAAACTCCCGAGACCAAATGATGTGAAGACATCTTCCTGGTATTATGGATGGTCAACTGTGTTACTGAGAATGGATATATAGAGATCATGCATAAAAATATGGCCTTTGCCCATGTTATTTGAGTCTGAAGGACATGGTCTCAAAAAAAAAAAAAGAGAGAGAGAGAGAGAGGGATTGAGGCCATACCCTAGACTCTTGCTTTCTTCTTTTTCTTCATCTACAGAAATGTTTGTAAGAGAGAATAGAGAGAAAAATGATATACAATTGTCAGAAAATTCATAGATTTATTTTTTGTTGTTCTTTTACCTCCTCTATTTCAATTGATCCTCATGATCAAATTGCTATCTTTATTTATTGTTTTTCTCTCTTTTCTCAACTTTTGAATATATTATTCATTTCAAGGTTTTACTTTCACAGGCTCTTTCATTTGGGCAATTTACTTTCAGATTGTTTACATTGCTCCAATGAAAGCCCTGGCAGCTGAGATGGCACGCAACTTTGGAAAGCGCCTTGAGCCACTTGGGATAACTGTGAAAGAGTTGACTGGAGACATGCACCTGACCAAGCCAGAGATAATGGCCACCAACATGATTATTACAACGCCAGAGAAATGGGATGTGACGACGCGAAAGCCAGGTAGAGAATGATTTATGAGGATTGAGAGTATCTCCTCTTCTATTGTTGTTGTCTTCCTCTTCTCATGATTCTACTTCTACTTTTCTCTTTTTAATCTTTGCCTCTCCTGACTGTATTCTCTCTCTGCCTTCCCTTTCTCCTTCTCCTCCTCCTCCCTTTTCTCCTCCTCCCTCTCCTCCTCTCTTCCCTCCCTCTCCTCCCTCTCCTCCTTTTCCTCTACCTTCTCTTCCTTCTCTTCCTCCACCTCCTCTTCCTACTTTTCCTTCTCCTTCTCTTCCACTTCCCTGCCTTCCTCTTCCCAGTCCTCTTCCCTCCTCTCTTCCTTCCTCTCTTAATCCCTCTCCTCCTCTTACTTTCTCTCTTTGTCCCTCTCCTCCTCCCCTTCCCTTTTCTCCTCCTCTTCCTTCTCCTTCTCTTCTCCCTGTCTTCCTCCTCTCCCTCACTTCTTCTCCTCTTCCTCCTAACTCTCCTTCCACCTCTCCTTCTCCTCCCTTTATACCTCCTCCTCCTCTTTCTCCCTCTTTCCTCCTCCCCTCTTTCTCCCTCTATTCCTCCTCCTCTCTTTCTCCCTCTCTTCCTCCTCCTCCCTCTATTCCTCTCCTCCTCTTTCTCCCTCCCTTCCTCCTCCCCCCTCTCTCCTCCTCCTCCCTTTCTCCTCCTCCCTCTCTTCCTCCTCCTCCCTCTCTTCCTCCTCCTCCTCCTCCTCCTCCTCTCCTCCTCCTCCTCCTCCTCCTCCTCCTCCTCCTCCTCCTCCTCCTCTTCCTTCTCTTTCTTGCTCTTCCCCCTCCTCCTCCCCCTTTCTCCTCCCTCTCTCCTCTCCTCCTCCTCCTCCCTCCCCTCCTCCTCCTCCTCCTCCTCCTCCTCCTCCTCCTCCTCCTCCTCCTCCTCTTCCTCCTCCTCCTCTTCCTCCTTTCCTACTACCTCTCCTCCTACCTCTTTCCTCCTCCTTCCTCTATACCTCCTCCTCCACCTTCTCCCTATTCCTCCTCATCCTCCTTTTCCTCCTACCTTTCCTTCTCCTCTTCCCATCTCTCCTTTTCCTCCTCCTTTGTCTTCTCCGTCTCTTTGTCTTTCCCTTTATCTTTTCCCTATTCTTTTTCCTTTTCTTTCATCTCTTTTCCTTTTTCTCCTTCTCCTTCCTTTCATTTTCCTTCGTCTCTTTCATCTCCTGCTTCTCCTTCTCCATCTCCTCCTTAAATTCTTCTTTCTTCTTCTCCTTCATGATACATGCACTCTTAGCATCAGCAGGTTAAGATGCAAGTAAAATAATTTTTTCACATTTAGAAAAATATTTTTGTTTCTACAAAATGTGTTTGTTTGCAGGAGACACTCAGTTATCACAGCTCGTAAAATTGCTGATTATTGATGAAGTTCACCTGCTTCATGGAGATCGAGGACCTGTACTGGAGACTTTGGTTGCAAGAACATTACGTATGGTGAGAGGCTTTGGTTGTTTATTCGTAAACTAGCTAGGAAAGGTTTCTGCTATTGTGAGAGAGATGTTTATTTTTTTTTTTTTTTTCTGTTTCTTTGTTCTTTGGGTATATCATGGGAGTCCTGTTTGTTGTGATCCTATATGCTATTTTATGTATTCCTTGTATTCTAGCTGGTTGTCTATGTTTAATTTTCTCTATGTTCTAGGTGGAATCTCAGCAGTCAATGATAAGGATAGTGGGTCTGTCTGCCACACTTCCAAATTATATTGATGTGGCAACCTTTCTCAGAGTTAATCCATACAAAGGACTATTCTTCTTTGATGGGTGAGTGCACATGTATTATTTTTAATTGGGGGCATGGATTATGTGAATTTTGATGTAACAAGGTTGTTTCTGCGCTGAAGGCAAAGAAAAACTAAAATATGACATGGATAAGCTTTAAGTAGATAGAATTACACTGCACTTGTAGGAGCTAACTTTCTTAAATTTCAGGGTTACTAATATTCCTTACTGTGTTCTTCTTTTTCTATGTCTTCATCGTCTTCTATTTCTTTTTCATCTTCTGCTTCTTCTTTTACTACGACTAATACTTCTTATTACTTACCACTTACTACTTCATTTTACCACTCATGACTTCTGTTAACCATGTACTACTTCTGCTTACCACTTTCTACTTCTACTTACATCTTACTACTTCTGCTTACCACTTATTACTCCTACTTACCACTTAGTACTTCTATTTACCACAATTAATTATATTTACCATTTACGACTTCAGCTTGCCACTTACTACTTCTGCTTTCCAATTATGACTTACTACTTACTACTACCTACTATTACTTACTATCACTTACTTCTTGTTACTACTTACTACTACCTACTATTACTTACTATTACTTCTTGTTACTGCTTACTACTACCTACTATTACTTACTGTTACTTACTACTTATTACTACTTATTATGGCTTATTACTACTTATTATGGCTTATTACTATTTGCTACAACTCAGTACAACTTATTACTACTTATTACTACTTACTTCTACTTAATACTATGTATTACAGTTTACTACTACTAACTACTACTAACTATTACATACTATTACTGCTATTACTATTACTTCAATGTCTACAGCTTGAGTTTCAGACTAGTGCTTCTGCTGTAGCAACAGCTAAGCAACAAACAATATTGATTTTCATTTTTTGGAATAGAATTGCTGATAATTACTTTTCAGACGTTTCCGGCCAGTGCCTCTTGGACTGACCTTCATCGGTATCAAAGCTCTTGGAAGGTTCAAGCAGATGGAAGATATGGACAGGGTTACTTATGAGAAATGCCTTCACTTTATAAAGCAAGGCCACCAAGTGAGTGTGCAAAAGCAGTAGTACCTTTAGTGTATAACACATTATGATTGAGTGATGTAATGCCCACATTAAGGACAAACTGGTTCTTTTGTCTGGGCCAAGAGAAAAATAATGAAAACATTATTAGATTTTTGGAAGAACCTCAAGAATGGACAATTTTTTTCAGGTGATGGTCTTTGTCCATGCAAGGAATGGAACTTTGCGAACTGCTGAAAATCTTATCAAGATAGCACAAGAGATGGGTAAAACAGAAGACTTCCTGCCTGATGATGGACCTGAGCTTGCCAATGCCCGAAAAGACATGGCACGATCACGGAACAAAAAGCTGTTGGAGTTATTTGATTCAGGTTTTGGTGTTCATCATGCTGGGCTGCTGCGAGCTGATAGGTATTAAAGAAGAAATATTTTTCCATTAGAAATCTTTGAAGATTTGTTGAGGATAATTCAATGTGCTTTATGTTTATATCTCTTTTTATATATATAAAAGAGACTGAATGATATTGTAATTATTAGACTGTGTGAAAACAATTGCTTTTGAGAATAGGGTTTCCAGAAAAAGGATTCATTGGTGCTTTGCTCTACAGGGCAGCAATTGAGAATGTTTTTAGCCAGGGGATGATCAAAGTGTTGGTATGCACAGCTACCCTTGCCTGGGGTGTTAACCTTCCTGCTCATGCCGTCATCATTAAGGTGAGAGGTAGAAGGTGTTTGGAATTTTGAATTGATTTTATGTTGGGGATTTTTGGAAGTAATATGATGCTGTCATAGTGAATAAGCATGAAAAACTTAGATACTATAATTATATATTTTTTTTTCTTGTTTCAGGGAACAGATATTTATGATAGCAAACACGGCACCATGGTTGACTTAGGAATTCTAGATGTGCTGCAGATTTTTGGTCGTGCTGGTAGGCCGCAGTTCGATAAGAATGGTCATGGAACAATCATCACCACGCATGATAAATTAGCCCATTATCTTTCTTTGTTAACTAATCAGTATCCTATAGAGAGTTCCTTCATCAAGCATCTGGCAGATAATTTGAATGCTGAGGTTAGTGTTATAATGCAGGTTCTTGTATTATATGTATATATATATTTATTTTATAAATATATTGTCATTCACTTTCATATTCTCAATCTTTTTCTCATTTTTCTTCTTGTTCTCCTACTTGTTCTCCTTCTTATTCTTCACCTCCTTCTACTCATGATCATCATCATGATCATCATGATCCTCCTCCTCCTCCTCCTCCTCCTCCTCCTCACTCTCCTCCTCCCCTCCCTCCTTCCTCCTTTTCAATCTCCTCCTCCTCCTCCTCCTCCTCCTCCTCCTCCTTTTCCTCCTCCTTCCTCCCTTTCCTCCTCCTCCCTCCTTCCTCCTTCCTCCTCCTTCTCAGTTCCTTCTCCTTCTCCTCCTCCCCCCTCCTCCTCCTCCCCCTCCTCCTCCTCCTCCTCCTCTCTCCTCCTCCTCCTCCTCCTCCTCCTCCTCCTCCTCCTCCTCCTCTCCTCCTCCTCCTCCTCCTCCTCCTCCTCTCCTCTTCCCGCCTCCTTCCTCCTTCCTCCTCCTCCTCCTCCTCCTCCTCTCCTCCTCCTCCTCCTCCTCCTCCTCCTCCTACTTCTTCTCCTTCTTCCTCTTCCTCCTCCTCCTCCTCCTCCTCCTCCTCCTCCTCTCCTCCTCCTCCTCCTCCTCCTCCTTCCTCTTCCTCCTCTCCTCCTTTTCTTCCTCTTCTTCCTCTTCCTCTTTCTTCTCCACTTCCTCCTTTTCCTCCTCCTCTTCTTACTATTCCTCATCTTCCTCTTCCTACTATTCCTCATCTTCCTCTTCCTCCTCTTCACTTTCATCTCTTTCTTTTTTTCCTTCTCATTTTTCTTTCCCTTCTCCTCCTCCTCCTCCTCCTCCTCCTCCTCCTCCTCCTCCTCCTCCTCCTCCTCCTCCTCCTCCTCCTCCTCCTCCTCCTCTCCTCTCCTCCACCTTCCTCTTCCTCCACCTTCTCCCTCCTCCACCTTCTCCTCCTCCTCCTCCTCCTCTTCCTCCTCCTCCTCCTCCTCTCCTCCTCCTCCTCCTCCTCCTCCTCCTCCTCCTCCTCCTCCTCCTCCTCCTCTCCTCCTCTCCTCCTCCTCTCCTCCTCCTCCACCACCTTCTCCTCCTCCTCCCTTCTCCTCCTCCTCCTCCTCCTCCTCCTCCTCCTTCTCTCTCTCACCTTCTCCTCCTCCACCTTCTCCTCCTCCTCCTCCTCCTCTTCCTCCTCCTCTCCTCCTCTCCTCCTCCTCCTCCTCTCCTCCTCCTCCTCCTCCTCCACCTCCTTGCACTCGTCTTTTTTTTTTCCTTCCTCAACAATTGAAATCCAACTGTATATGCAACTCCATGGATTCCAGGTGTCACTAGGCAACGTCACCAACATGGAAGAAGCTATTGAATGGATGAGTTACACGTACCTTCACGTCCGCATGAGGAAGAACCCCCAGGTCAGTGGTTTATTTGAGTAGGCTTCATCATCAACTTATTTTGATTTTGTAAGTGGATGTTTAATGCAGTGGATTTGATATCTGTTGTGGCCTATATAAAAGCTCATCAAAACCTTATTTGTACTTTTTTTCTGGAGTTTGGAAAGCAGAGGATTGGAAAATCTCTCTGAAATTAGGAAAAATAGAATGGTACATCTAGAACGTTTTGTTTTCATTTATTTATTTGTCTATATATATATTTTTTCTAATGGGACAGACTGAAGTAATAAGATTGAGCTTGTTTTTGATTCTCTAAAGCAAGGTACACAATGTAAAACCATATGTGTCAACTTGTTGCCACTAGGAACATATAATGTTAATCATGGTTTGTTTTGTGAATGGTGTTTACACAGTGATGGCTCTACAGTAACCAAGGAGTGATCGCCTCACCTGACTTCTTCTTATCTTGATTTTTCTTGAATATTTTTCTATCACTATTAGTGTTGATACTGCTATTTTTTTATGGATGTTTTGATTACTATTATAATGTCAATAATGTTAAAAAAGAAGAATATTTTTGAATATTATGCAAAAGGGTAAACAGGCGAGATAGTCATAGACTTCTTCTTCACTTAGCATTTGCAGTGGAAATGAGTCAGAAAAAATGGGAGTAAAGTCTGTTTAACCTGAATAGTCACAGAAGATCTCATACCTTGATTGCCTGTTTGTGTTGTACAGTTTTAAATGATGGATGAAAAAGGAAAGATTTTAGATTTTGTTAGTAGCTTCTGAAAAATCTCTAGTCATGTATCTATGTAACTCTTCTCACTCCCTTTCAGTATAAAAGATTTAAAGTTTATTAACTGTTTCATGAAATTTGTGTAAAATTTTATGGCATTTGTCCATCTAGGTTTATGGATTGCTGTATAAGGATGCGCAGCAGGACCCTAATCTTGAAATGTTTCGACGTGAGCTTCTCACCACGGCTGCGAGGGCACTGGATAAGGCTCGTATGGTTCGATTTGATGATGCCACTGGCTTTATGCATATTACAGGTTGGTTGAGTTTTGTAAATTATTTTTTCATATTGATTGTACAGACCATTGAAGAATTGTGTTTACACGGAAATGTATTACAGAACTATTTTGAGCCTTTACACATTTACATTTTTTTGTTCTTAATCATTTGTATAACACTGCATTTCAATTCCATTACAGATCTAGGGAGAATTGCCAGTCAGTTCTACATTAAGTATGACACAGTTGAAATTTTCAATGAGTTTTTGAAATCTGTTATGAATGAAGGAGACATTTTAGCTGTGATATCACAAAGCTCCGAGTTTGCACAATTAAAGGTAGAAAAAACTTGGAGTGCACCAGTTCTATAACTAATATTCCTGTGAAATAACACCCTGTTTTTTTGTGATTTCATTTTTATTTTACTTGATCATTCAGCATGTTCTTATCATGAGGATATAACATTTACGTAAGACAAGCCTTTTCAATGGTTTTATAGATGTGCTCTCCCCACAGGTACGAGATGAGGAGATGAACGAACTGGATGACCTCCACCAACAGTGCGAGGTGGTTGCAATGGGAGGAGCTGAACACATACATGGCAAAGTCAACATCCTTTTGCAATCACATATCTCACGCATCAGAGTAGATAGTTTCTCACTGGTGTCAGATATCAATTATATTACTGATGTGAGTGTTTCTTTATTTGTTTATATCTTATTCTTAACCAGTATTTATTTTATGTTTTGATGTAACATTTATTTGATCATAGCTGAATATTGCAGTTGAAGAGTTAGAGAGGTTAGCTGGTACTGGTACATGGTACAACTCATGTCATGTCTAAATCTTACTTGATATCTATCTTTGTTCTTGATGTATTGTATATACTGTAATATGTTGTACATTTGTATTCTGATTTGTCAGACTTGAGTAGAGTTGATCCACATGCCATTACCACGTGGCTTCTTATTGCTTCAACTTGCATGGATATTAAGTTTGAGCATTTGCTATGTAAGATTTATCATTTGCTTTAATTGATGTTTTTACTTCTAGAGAAAAGAAAGAATGATTTTGTAGTAAGAATGATGCCTGTTATGCTTTATTTCTCCTCTGTCTTCTAGAACTCTGTGAGAATAACACGGGCACTCTTTGAGATAGTTCTGCACAGGAATTGGCCTCTGATGGCAGGTCGTCTACTTACTATGGCTAAGATGTTGGAACACCAGATGTGGCACTTTGAGAGCCCCATGAAGCAGTTTGCCCGCTTGACCCATGAGATTATTGAGAAGATTGAGGACAAGAGGCTCACCATTGAGAAGATCAGAGATATGGATCCTAAAGAAATCGGTAAGGCTTGTTTACTTTTAAGAATGTTTAGTTGTGTAGTTTTGTTTCTCTTATAGGAAAATTTTGGAGTCAGAGTCAAAAATTCCAGGTTGGTTCTGGATTCAGGTTCTGTACTAATCTTGGGATATTAAAGTAAGATAGATGGTTCCCTTCCATTCTGAATTTGACCCTAGCTGTTGACCTGGAAATCGGAAGTGGCCCTTACTCCGTCACAGCTAAGTTGACTAGTTGAACATAAACTTGTGCAGTTGCAAAATCAGAGCTGGTTATACCACTTTCAGTCAGAAGTAAGGATTATGAAGTGATGAAATTAGTTTTACACAGACACGACAGATGGTTGATTGTAGGTATATCTATCTTTGCTGGAATAACTTCCCTTTCTGCGTTCGCAATCTGATTATATATTTAATCCACCATTGTTTTGCATTTATATATTGAATTGCAGATATTATCAGGTTATATATTTTTATTGTATGAGTAATATAATCATGTTTTTTTTTTGTTTTTTTAAATCTTTAACCAAAAAGATTAATTTAGATTTTTTTGCTCAGGGAAGCTGATCCGGCATGAAAGGATGGGAAGGGAAATTAAAGCTGCTGCTTGGCAGTTTCCGCTTCTTGAGATCGAGTCCAAAATCCAGCCCATCACAAGGACTGTTCTTAGGGTTACGCTAAACATCAGTGCAGATTTCACGTAATGAAGAAGTTGTCAATGTTTTTTGTTTGTTTAAAGTGATGCAAATAGAATGTTCTTTGGAAAAGATGGTTATGAATATAATGATATAATTTCAGAAAAATGCCATATATGTTTGATACAAACATATTAGATAAATTGACAATAAAAAGTAAAAATAGAACAACATTTTCTTTAAAAAATAAAGATAGCACATTTGCGATAAAAAATGGCATAGCATTAAAGGAGGAAAAAGAAAAGAAAGAGTTAAATACATACATGCCTAACCCGTTGATGCTGGGATTGTGCACTGGTCCCCACATTTTTTTTAAATTTCTTTACTTATACCCTCTTCCTTGAATTTTAGGAGTAAAGAAATCCATGACCATCACTGTGTTTATTGCTGTTAATTTTATTATTATTACTACTATCAATATTGCAATAATAATGTTAAGCCCTTTGATTGGGGTGATGTGACGATCACGTCATGAAAAAATTTTTACTCAAGAGGTGGGTGACATGAACTTATCACCATGGGGGAAAAAATGGCTGCGAGCTGCGTGATGC